ATTCCCAACTCAGCTGGCTGGAAGAGCCTGGTGTAGCCATGGGTCTGTGACTAAGGCTCTAGAGGGGCCAGGCAGGCACAGAAGCTATGCCAGCTCCACCAAGACAGGACACAGCTCAGCTCTGGCATGCTGTGCTGTTGAGTGAAGATGTCTGGGGTTCTGGAGCTTGGGGTGTACTCTGACTTCTGGGCTCATTAGGATGCAAGCCCATTCAGCTGGAGGGCAGGAGGAAGAGGAGCAGGTGAGACTTGCAGGCCACAGCTCAGCCATTGGATTAGGGCCCCAAGAAAGCCCTTGGCCACCCTGTCTGGATCTGCTTGTGACTGTCTGTCAAGAACCTACAGGGACAGGTGTCAGAAGAAGACAGGGGAGACAGCAATGCTGCAGCTGAGGGAGCAGAAAGGCCAGCAGGGGGAGAGGGCCACACCCTGGAGTCCAGTGCCTGAGTGCAGGTAATGCTAGGCAGGAAGAAGAGGGGCGAGGCCATGGCACTTGGCAGACGACTCAGCCCCTGAGCTGATCCCTGGCTATGCTGCTGACTCTCACGCTCCCAAACAGGCTAGCAGTTGGCTTCTGGAGGAAGCTGGGAGTGCGAGGTGTGCGTTTCCTGAAAGGCCCCTGGCAGTCACAACTCAAGGTCTACGGTGAGAAAAGGAACAACAGCAACTGCACCTCAGGAGTCGGCAAACCCTCTTCTTTCTACTCACTGTTCGGAGCAGACTATGATGCTCCGAAAGACACTGTGGCTCCTGTTGGCGGGGAACACACTGATACTGACCGCTCAGGTCAGCGGTCGTCCCAAGGACTTCACACACCTGGACCTGCCAGTGCTTGCTGTAGTGGTCACTTCTCCTAGGCTGGGATGGCCAGACTGAGGATCACTTTGGAACCAAACACAGCAATAGGTTCTCGTGCTGGCTACTGGTATACACTTCCATATCAGAAGGTCCCCCTCTCTGCAGGAATGTTTACTGAGCTCCTAAATGGATCCTTTTTATGCAGGAAAATGCCCAAAGTTGCTTCCTGGCTTGTACTTTCTGAAATAGCTTTTATTTTATCATTTTCTACTGTGTACAGTTTTCCTGGTTAGGGTATTTTTGGTTCTAAGACTTATTTCTGGTCCTAATGCTCATTAGCGGTGGTCCTTTAGCATTGGGTTTCAGTTTTACTTCATTAGTGGTAATTTAAGAGATTATTTCTCACTCGGTGATGTAAGTGATTTAGGCCATTCAAGCAGCATAATGTAGCTGAGGCCACCAAGGATCACACACAGTGGTGGCAGTTTGTTAAAATGGACCTTAAGATATTTGACCTTGGGCCACATCATGTAACGTTTATGATGTAACATTAGTTTAAATGGAGTGGCATTGGGCATGCAATGCAACTCAGAGCTGTGGCTCTCGCAGTGTTCCTGCGGGTCCCGGCTGTCAGGACTGCTCACCACACTTCCACACCTGCCATATAGGGGCATGCACAACCCCTCCAGTGTGAACAAGCAGAGCTGTGGGATGGGGATGGCATGTAAGGCTGGGCCTGGGCTCCCCCTAGCACCTCAGAAAGCCATGTGACACAAATCTGACCCACAGAGACCTCCAGTAAAGGCACAAATCTGTCTTCCAATCCAGAGTCTCTTTCCTTTAGCTGATAGTGATAGCTGAAAGCACCTTGTCTTTAAAGTGTCCAGACAACATGGTTAGAGAGAAACAGATCTCAGAAAGAAAAATTCAAATTTGTCTAAGATTAATCCAGCTACTAACAACAGAGGCCAAAGACTGGACACAGAGTCTTCTTACCTGACAGGTGCCACAGAAAGTTCCCTGGGGCACTGGGGCAGAAGTACGAGATCCCTGACGCTGCCCAGCACATGGCCTGACTCCACTCTGCAGTGGCCAGCATGGGCTGCAGACTAGGCTGTCCTGAGTCCTGCAGATTCTCTTTGACATACACCTGCGCCAACCCGCAGGGACAGTTTGGGGTGCTCAAGGTTCTTGCACAGCGAATGATGAAGGATTACATGTTGGCTGCTATTACGACCTTCACTCCAGTCCTGGTGACCTGTGTAGAAAGCCCCATGCTGGGTTTCAATGTGGATACCTTTGCTTGTTTTGACATTTTGGCACAATGCTCCCAGTGTAGGGATGCTAGGTCAACAGCATGGCCTGAGAGCCTCTCAGACCCAGGCATTCCTGTGGAGCCATCCTGTGTGGCAGCAGCAGGCAGCCATGCATGGCTTTGCTCTGTCCCCTGGTTTGCTGATGTCCACAAATGAACACTCAGTCCTTCAAGCTTGCTGCCTGTACTCCCTTCAAAGAACACTGTGCACACAACTCCATGTTCATTCTAACTACGGTGTGCAAGCATCCTGTTGTCCCCAGGGATCTGCATTTTTCCAGTGGGCACAGGGCCCTGGAGTGGCACAGCGAGGGGCACAGGGCCATGCTGGACACGGAGACCAAGGTGTGATTGTGGGGATGTAACCACCTACTTGTAAGAAGTCCTTCACTGGACAGATTGACAGGGGGTGCATTTAAGCTGCATCCCACAAAGCTGTTCAAACATCAGCTGCCATTGACTATCGGGAGGAACAACTTCTGTCGAAGGTCAGCCACAGAGGTGTGCAGGGTGCGAGGGGCCCTGCGGGAGAGAACGTCCCCTCCCTTGGCCTCTAGTGGCCTTGCCTGTGAACCATGTGCCTCTCCAGTGAGCACAAGTCGCACTGGATGTCAAGCCCTAGCAAGCAGAGAGCCCATCGGCATGTCCTGTGTGACGAGCCGAGGCTTCATTAATAAACGAGGCTGCAGTGCTGAGCCTGGGCCTCAGAATGGCAATGCTCAGAAAACTCTCTCCTCTCTTTATAGTAACAGCTCGAGAAGCAAAACTGACAAGAACCATGAGTGGATTGCAGGGTAGCTCTTCTACATCAACGCTAAATGTGGAAGGCATTAATTGCTTGTGATCTGTGAATTGAGTGTTAAAGTTGCACCAAGAGGAAAAGTTCTCGGGCTTAGTAGGCTCAGCTGGTACCTCACAAGCTCCCAAGCCCACCCCACCAAGGGGTCAGAGCTGCAGCTAGCCCAGGCTCTGGACTCTGCCTTCTACCAGCAGGTGCCCTTGTCTGTCCCCAAACAGAAGGAGGGTGCCTTCACTTTTCACATTACCTACACTCTCAAAGGATGATTAGCAACGTTTCTTTCCAGGGAATAGCATGTCTAGGCACTGGGGTCCTTCCCAAAGAGACTAATGGCAAAACAACAGCAGCAGCAAACATCAGGCATTTGATGGTCGTGGGAAGTGAAATGAACTGTGGTCCTCAGGACAGACAGGAGGGTGGGTGGGTGTACAGGTGAAGCCAGTGAGGAATCAAGGGAATCTGGGGTTTAAATTAATTAATTTTCTTGGGTACGGATAGACTCTAATTGTGCATGCCTGTGGGGTAGGTACACAGTGGTGCTGTGACTGTGAACGGAATGTGGCAGGACCGAACCGGGCCATGACAGCCGTCCCTCTGGCCCAGACGTTTTTTGGAAGGAGGTCTGGCATTGCTCATCAAACATGGCCTCCTCCCTCCTGCGCGGTGGCTGGGTGCCGGCCAGGGTGCAGTGCACCCTTCTCTCTACCTTTGTGCACTGAAATTTTCCATCATAAAAAGTTTAAAAATAGCTTTACCCCTTTTTCCTTCAATGAATGTCAGGAAGGCTCCACTTTGGGGCAGGGGGAGCGGCACCTCATCAGCCCAGCCCCCCTGCTCCCAGCGGGGGCCAAGTCTCACATCCCACAGGCCTGGCACCTGTGGTCCATCTCCAAAGACAGAGCACCGCGGGAGCTCACTGCTTGCCGCTGGTCAGGAGATGCCCTGTCTTCTCCAGAACCCGCAGACCTGAGGCTTGGCAGGGACTCTTTTGGGATCCTGACCGGCACTAACGAGGCTGCCCAGCCGCGGCTCACCAGCAGGAAAAGTTGGCTCCCTAGGTTTGTTTTGAGGCCATCACCCCTGGGGTGCAGGTCTGCGCCACAGCCCCCTTCCTGGTGGGCTGGAGCTAAACATGCCAGCCTGCAGGAGGGATCCCTGAAGACATAGATGCGCGTGCCCCACGGCCTGATTCACCCAGAAAAGAAGCCAGCTCCCCCAACCCACGTCTCCAAACTAGCCAAACCCCTTCTACCATCTGCTATGCTGACACCGGCCTGGCTGGGTAGGCGCGAGCGCATAGTCCCGCCGCGAAACCAGGGAGGGCGGCACATCTGTGGCTATAGGATATGCATCCTGGAGTGTGAGTGCCCAGAGCCGGGCTTCTACATCCACTGGGACCCCAGGAATGAGGGCGACCGGTAGATCCCTTCTTCGACCCTTCATAGGCTCCTCAAAGCTCCCATCCGATGGAGTATGCGGAGGCGCGCAACCCAGAGCCTTTTCTCTTGGAGAGGGGACTCCAACTCCTCCATGACCCTCGGAGGGCGCCACAGGAGAGAAACGAGGGTGGACTGGAGGTCTTGCGCCTCAGCTCGCTCCTATCCCGGCTCCTGGGCTGCGGGCTGTCGCCTAGCGAAGAGCACAGCTCGCGACAGCGGCTGCGGGGTTCCGAGTCCTGGCCTGCGACCCGGCGCCGCCAGGATTCCCAGCCACGCGCGCTCTCGCTTCGCCTCTTCACCCTTTTGCTTGCAAACCAGGTCCCCTCCCTCTCCGTCGCCGTGGCTTGGGTCCCCAGCCCCGCGGCTGCTGCTCTCCAGCCTAGGGGTCTCGCGGGGTCACGCGGGGACCTGATCCCCGCGGCGCACTGGGCGACCCCGGCCCATTGCGCTTCTGGACTCTGGGACCGAGGGCAGCCGAGCCCTCTGTACCTTCGCACAAGCTCCGCATCCGCGCGCTCTACCCCACCGTAGCGACCACCGGACCCACCGGATTCCGCGTCCCCGGGGCTGCGCGCTCCCGAGTCGGAGCCGGGAAATCCCCGTGTCCCTTGTGCTTGCCGCCCCCGACAACCCCCCGGTAAGGGACTCACCTCTGGGACAAGGTGACCCGCGCCCAGGCGGCCCCGCGTCTCCCCGGCGGGCGCGCGTGCGGGCGGTGCGGGGCGCGGCGCGGCGCCCGCCTCCTCTAGCTCCCAGCGCTCCGTTCCCTCTTCGTCCCTCTCTTCACCCCCTTTCCTGTCCCTTCCTGCCCCTCCTCCTCCTTCCCTCCCCCAGTCCCTCCTCTTGCTCCCCCGCGCGCCCCGCCCCGCGTCCCGATCGCCCCGCGCGCCCAGGAGCCCAGGAGCCGGGGCGGGCGGGGTCGTGTTCTCTTCGCCCCTGTAGGGGACCGGGAGGGGGCGATCCGGGCGCGGAGGCCGGGGCGCAGCTCCGGCTGAGGCTGGCGGCGGGAGGAGAGACAAGGAAAAAGGAGAGGGAGGGTAGGGGATACTGGAGAGGAGGCGGCCGCCAACTTCACCGGCCACGCGGGGGGTCTCGTCAGGAACTAGGAGGGATGAGGCGGGGCGGGGAGGAATTCATAGTGACTCCGGGAAGCAAGGGTTCCCCTCGGTCCTAAAGGCCTCGCTAGGTTCCTTTGGGCTGGGGTTCTGAGGGACCCACCCGTAGGTCTGGCATTCCAACCTGCCATCCCACAATCCAGGAGACAGCAGGTAAAGCTCAAGACCCTGGCCCGCGTCTCTCGTGGGCGGTGCGGGAGGAAAGGGGCTGCGTTGGGACACAGGCTCAGAGTGTGGCGGAGGCTGGGGGCATTGATCAGGACAATGGCATTTCTAACATTACGGGCGGGCGGAGGGCCTAGGAGCTTTAGCCTGTGGAGTTTCTTAGGCAACCAGCAAGGTCAAAGTTACACATCCACGCGCCCCCTTTTCAACACTAGGAGCAGCCCCTGGGGGCCCCAGTCCTGAGCCTTGGTTGTCCCCGGGAGGTCAGGCCAGGGATCCAGAAAGTGGGGTCTGCTGCTCCCCGGGGCAGACTTCCCCATTGCAGTGTCTGTCACTGTCCGGAGCCAGGGCCAGAATGTGTTGTGTGGGAAACCTGGTCCTTCTTTCTCTTGGGGACCCTCTATGGCCCTGAGAGCGTTGCGGCCAGAAGAGGGCACCCGGGAGCAGGTCAGTGCAGCCCGCTGTCCTCAGCTCTTTGTTGGGTGACTCTGAGGTCCCCACTCCTACCTGTGGGACGCCCATTTCCACTTGTGCAGGCAGCAGTCTGGCGTCCTCTGTGCACGGGCATCAGGCCCTGGTCTGGTACCCTAGGGAAGGCCCTGCGTCGTCTCCCCTCCAGCAGGAAAGTATTAAACGGGAGGAAGACACTACCTTACTTTAGCAGGCAGCTCATCTTTCATGGGACAGATCAGTCTTGTGGCCAAACAGGGCAGAACTGGCCTTGGAGACTCAACCCAGAAGGAGTCAGCAGGAGACTGTGCCTCCGGAGAAGAGTGGAGGCTTGAAGGGGCTTCCTAGTCCCACTGCCACCTGGGAGCTGGCTGCTTCTCTCCTCTGGTCTGGCTCGCTCAGCTTCATCATTCGGATAAACTTTGGAGCCTGCTGTGTGGCCAGAATCCCTGGAATGTTACACATTTGCCCACAGAGTGTTTCGTGACTGAAACTTTGATCTAGCAGGCAGGATCCTGTGGAGCACAGCAATTTACAGGGCCCCAGGGTCCTGCTGACTCTGCACCACCAAAAGTGAGGGCGACTGCTCCAGTGCCAGCTCTTGAGAACCCTGCAGTGCCAAGTTGTCCCCCAGGCCTTCTGGGGTCTGTGTTGAATGTGGATATATGGAGAGACAGAGACATTCAAGTAGGTTGCATTTCCTAAAAACACTCCTGAGTCTGAGCTTCGGTTCTGAGTCTGCTGTGCCTGATTTAGCACTTGAGCCCTCGCAGTTTATTTCTGTCGGTGCTCAGGGTCCTGCTTCTCTCTCCCTGCTGTGGTGGCCCTGCACCACTCTGCTTTGGCACCTCCCATGGGAGTACCTGCCATTGGAGAGAGAATAAAAAATCTGGGGGGTTGTGGCCAGGAGAAGGGTGTCCACTGAAGAAAGAGGACAGTCTGAAAGAAAAACTAAAAAATTACACGATGTCAGAGACTTAAACTTGAAGTTATGATTTCTCCCATGCACTCCCAAGGCCTCCAGACCCCAAGCTAGCAATTTATTTTTCTTGACAGGATTTCCCCCATCCGGGTTAGTGTTTCTGTGACCCGTGTGGGCCTCATGGCATTGCGAAGAATCTCTGTCTTTAGAGTATAGGCACCAAGGGTAGGCAGCTGGCTGTCACCTGCTCCTGGCAGGTGGCAGCTCCAGGAAGGTCTCCCAAGTGATGCCCAGGTGGTGCCCAGGTGACGCGGAAGATGCCAGCATATGTTGCCAGGGTCTCTGCATTGGTTACACATGGAAGCGCAGTTGTTATCTGGAACGTGACCAATCATCATTGTTTTGCTGTGTCGTAGTGCAGAAATAAAGGTCTTCAAGAAAGCCATTGAAGAGCTGTCACGTATCAGGCAGCAACAGGGCAGGGCAGAAATTGCCAAAGCCCCTGGAAATTGGTAACCTTCTCAACAACACTTATCTCTTCAAAGAGATTACAGAACTCTCAGTGAGGAGAGGTCACAGGGCTGATTCGTGTGCTTCAAGAAACTGTCACTCAGGCACCCAGAGAGCTGTCAGGCCTCCAGCCAACTTTCAGAAGGAGCTGCTACATGGCGGAGATCGTGATGAGATAAGAGAAAATACAGAGTTAGAGTTTTCCAGATAGGAGCTGCTCCTCAGTGGGCCTGAGCTGAAAGCCTCCAGAGCAAGGGGCGGGGCAGGCCCCAGGCTGCTGTGCCTGGTGTTAGCGCTGGTGGCCCATCAGAGACCAGGTTCACATCTCAGCTCTCAGAGGCTCAGCTTCCCACATTGGTTGTAACCCCAAGGATGAAAAATGCCAACACACAGTTCTAAAACTACGTAATTAACTTTGCTTTTTCCCTGTCTTCCTCAAATCGTTATTCAACTGATGAGATCCAAGAATCAAAAGTCTTTCTTGTGAAAGTTGCTGCTTGTTGACTTAGGGTAAGAAGATGCTGTCGTTTGGCGTAGAGCTGATAGAGGAGGTGCTGATGAAAACACAGATTTCTATCAGAAATAAAAAGGAAAAGACTCAGAATCTTAAGAAGTCCAGGAAAATGTTGGCATCAGTTGAGAACAGGAAACACGGATGCAATTGAATGCCAGAATATTCCCATCCCATGACACGCTGAAGACTCCTTGTCCACCCAGGGATGCAGGGGTGTGGCTTGCAGGCTGGGTCCAAGAGCCCTGGGATGCAGGTCCAGCCGGCTGACCCCACATCTGCTGTCTTGCCTGATTCCAGGATGTCTGCTTGGAAAGAATCTAGGGAGAGAGAAGGAAAACGTGTCTGCCTTGCATGTAGTGCCAGGGTGTCAGTCGGGGGTTGCCGCAGACTCCCCATTGAAGCCCACTGGCTTGAGTAGTGTGGGCTGTGCCCACCCCTGTGCTGCCCCTGGCTGTCAAGCCTGGCTCACACTTGGGGCTGCTGGCTGGCAGTGCCATGGGGTCTCCTCTTTCGGAGTCTTGTGGCTCCTTGAGTTGAGAGCACAGCTGGAAGAGACTGGGAGATGGGCGCTCCCTGCTGCTGCTTGACCTGTGAAGCTAGGCTAGGGATTATGCATGGGGAGGGAATGCAGGAGTTTGCATCTAAGGCAATGAGGTAAATTTCTCCTAAATAGCCTGGCGGGATTGTACCTGGACTCCCTGGGCCTGAAACAAAGGCCTTGAAGAAGGCAGGGAAGGGCTCCTGGTGCCCAGCTGGTGTGGAAGGGACAGCACACATGGCCACCTTCTCTGCTTCAGTCATGAGCAGAAGTCCAGTTGTTACTCAGGCTGAGCCCAGGGAATAAAGATGCTAGCTGAGCATGGAACCTGTGTGCTCCCTGTCCCTGCCCAGCTAGGGATGCTGATGGCTCTGTCCAAGCCTCTCTGGATCCCCCGGGGCCAGCATGAACAGCTGGGTCCTGTTGGGCCAGCCACACCTCAGCAGAGAGGTTGAAAGCCCAGGCCTTGGGGCCAGGCAGACAGGGCTGGCAGCAGGCACCTGCCACTTCCCATCACTCTGCCCAGAGGGATGGTGGACTCTGTGGAGCTGAAACGACCATAATCTCATCAGCTGCCTGGTGTGTGTGGCAGAGGCAGGGGTGTGTTTCTCTGGTCAGAGTCAGTGGGTATTGTTCTTAAAGACAGTTGGCAAGCTGGGGCTGTTGGGTGCTTTTTCCAGGAAGAAAGCTAGTGGTCACACTGAGCCCTACGCATGGTTGGGTGCAATGCTAAGGGTCTTTGTGAGAAGCCTGGACAGCAGCACTTGGGGTCCTGTCTTCCACCCAGGCTCCTCCTGCTGCAGGGGGCACCGTCCTGTAGTGCCAATGTGCTGGCTGCTGTGCACCTCTGTGGGCTGGCCTGCAAGTCCTGCTCCTGCTCCTGAGAGGTTCTGATATCTTTTGAGGAGCATGAAGCATGGGCTATCTGTCCTTGGAGCCTGGAGCTGGAGAGACACCAAAGCAGGCCATGGCTGACGGTGGGAATCAGGGCAAGGTCCTGTGGGAAAGACCCTGACCCCACTTCACTCTAGCTCACCCATATTTTATCTGGGAGACAATCAACAAACTCCTGGGTATCTTGGGGATACGGGTTCTCTGTCAGCAGCAAGACCTTAAATGTGGAGTGCATATTCAGGCAGCGGTTGCTTGGGTAGCCGGACTGTGTTATCAGGGCTCAGGGTCTGATGTCCTGGCCTGGAAATGGCCAAGGTCTGATGTCCCTGCAGACCCGATCAGAGCTGACAGCAACCTGTTCGCTATCCTCAGTGTCTGCATCTCCAGAGGCAGGGTAGGGTGGGAGTGGGGGTTGTGGTGTTCCCTGCACTCAGCTCAAATTTCCAAGTCCTGAATTGGGTGAGTGTTGTCATCCCTTAGGAATCAGAGGCGCTGAAGTGCTCAGAGTGCAGGTGACAGATGACACCTCTCCTGGGAGCAGAGCTGGCTGCTCAGGGAGTGGGGATGAGGGTCGAAGCAGGGGAGGAGGAGCTGAAGTATGAGAAAGCTGTACACT